AAAAAAAAAAAAATGAAACTGTGAAATTTGTTCACCCACCAAAAACTTTCAGTACCTCAAATTGTTGTTGTTTAGTTGACTGTTTATATCGACAAATTTGTCATCAGAAAAGAAAAGAAAAAAAAAAACAAAAAGTTGGTACTTGAAGTTTTTCTGTTTGTAAGATAAACAAAACAAAACTAAGCACAAAAATAAAGTTGATAAAAGCTAAAAACTAATCTAAGATTATCAAAATATTAGTCTTTTGTAAAAGCACTTGACTTAACTGTACCACCACTGTAATCTTTCAATATTCTTCAAAACAATTACAGTTAATGGCAAACATTTAAACAGTACTCGCAATTATTCAAAATGAATATTTTCAAAATGAACTGAATGAAGAAAAAATAAATGATAATTTTTTTTACATAATTTATAACAAAAAATGTGACAAAATTTCTTAACAGCAAATTTTAAACAGATGGAAAAAATAAGCAGTAAAATTTTTACGGCTTTTTACAGGTGCTTTACCTCGAGCTCGGTTTCGGAGGAGTGTTGGAACTCTTTACGTTACTTGGCAAGACGATGGAGCACATAATACCGACATTGATGCAGTGGGTTATTTAGTGGAATACAAAACTGCTGATGGAGACAAGTGGGTCGTGTACCCAAGTCTTGTTCCGTACGTTGAAGATAATAAACTTCGAGAAATAAAGGTGTCTTCGTTGTTTTTTGTTTTAAACTTAATACTTTATTTTGAAAATATGACAGACTGTATAAGCAATTTCTTTTCTTTGTAGATTCACAATTTGGAATCCGATGCTTCGTATCAAGTTCGTGTTAAACTCGTAGGCAGAAATGGTGAAACCATCGCCTTGTCTGAGGGTTATACAACCGCTGTCTGGAAAGATGGTTCCGGTTGTCAACCTAATGGTACAAAAAAAAAAATTTTTTTTCTGATTAAAGACCAAAAGTTATTTTCTAAATTTTTTTTTCCTTGTTTAATTTTCAGAAGTTTCGTATCCGAAGAACGTTAAAATCACTGAAGTTACAAAATTCAGTTTAACTATTGAATTTGATAAACCGGAATGTGGATTTCCAACTTCGTATGTGGTCGAAGTATGTGGTTATTTATTGCATTTGTTGCTTATTATTGTCATTTTTCTGACAAACCAATATCTGGCAATTCTACTTTATTTCTGTTAAAATTGTAGCTTTAATTATGGTTCCTTTAATTTTTAGGCAACTGGTACTGGTGATGCTTCGTTTGATCACCATACTCAAACAGTTACTCGTTCACCGGCCACTATTATACAACTTCTTCCGCATACAGAATATCAAGTACGAGTTCGAGCTGCCGATGATAATCTGAGTGAAAAACCATGGAGTGAACCAATTTCAGCATCTACTGATGGAAGCGGTGAATTTGTTACATTTTTTTTGGACATACAGCATATTTTTTGATTTCTCAATTTAAGCTTATTTTAGCTGTTTTCTTAAATTACTTAGTCTTTTCGTACTTCTTCTTACAAACTAACCATTTTTTATTTCAGCACTTGCAGTCTTGGGCTCTATTACCATTGATTATCGCACCAATTCTGAAATACGAATCAGTTGGCCAGATGATTACAACGAAGAGCTACAAGCTTACAAGGTAAACTTAGAGTACTAAATACAGTTACTACGAATTTATCAGTAGATATCAGACTAAAGACAGGATTTATTATTTTTTGCCACCTAATTATTACTCCACATTTTCAAAGTATATTTGGGTTTGAAAATTGAACAAATTTTTAGTTATATGCAACTGCTCTTGGTGATTTTGCTGAAGATCAATCGCAAGCAATGGAAATTCGTCGACCCCTTCACTCTGCTCTGTTTACTAATTTGTTACCGGAGGCAGAGTACGCTATTGGTGTAGTCGTCTACAAAGAGCATGAACCAAGTTTATACTATAGAACCAATGCTAAAACTGTTTCAAATAGCGGTATGCTGTGGGATGATAAACCAAAAATTGTTGAAGAAGGTCAAAATACCTATGTAGTTAGTTGGAAACGACCTGAAATTAGTCATCCGATTGAATACTATGTTGTCGAGTATCGTTCAGTAGATAATAATACGTAAGTTTGTCATATTTCAGCGCTGTGAGACAGCAATCTGCTGTAGTTAAGTTTCTTGATCTATTCATCGCTTATTTGGACTAATAAAACCCTAAAATAGTGACGAAAAAACTGCCAATAGCATTAGACAAAAACAACTTATAAATTTGTTGATTTTTAACAGTAAATATTTTATTGTCGCTTATTTCAGATGGTGGAAATACAAGACAATCCTGAATGACGACGATCAGTTTTCATTAGACATTGAAGATTCATATGGAAAAATCTTTTATTCAATACGGATTTTAGCTGTTGACGATCAGAACAGACTTGTTCTAAAAACACCAGAAGTTAGAAAAATGCTATTTGGCTTTTTTCTTTGACGGTAATGCATAAAGCAATGGTAATTTGGTTATTTGCAGACAAGAATCAGTTCAATTATTCTGGAACCTTGCATTGGTAATGGTGGTATACCAAAAACTATAACATATAAATTCATCTCCGATAACGCGATCCAATTTTCGTGGGAAAAGCCACTTTGTGAATCTTCGCGACCAGTTACTGGTTACGAATACCAGGTAATTTTTGGTGTTATCATAGAATGTTAATTGTAAGCTCAGATTCTGATGGTAACACTAATTAGTCGTCTGCAGTTGCCGGTCAGTTAAAACTGCAGTTTCTCCAATTTTAGTTTTGGGAAGCAGGGAACCAAAATGACGATGATCGATTGGACTCCTTCGTTGGTGATGCTGTAGTGGTACGCGGCGAACTTAAACCCGCTACACAGTATGCTTTTCGTGTTCGTTCTAGGGTTGGTCCCAATCGTAGCCCATGGTCTGAAACTGTTAATGTGAGAACAGATTCATTTTTATCGCAAGGTAAAGTTGTCTTTTAAATCTGCAATTTATTTTTTCAGTATTAAATTTGGAATTTAAAAGCTCAGTTAAAAGTGTAGTTTAAAACGGTATTTAGAGATAATATTGTTCAGGAACACAGAATCTTTACCGGTTACGCTACATTTCACAACCCAAGTCATACTTAGTTTGGACACCGTTAGCCGAAGATGTTGAACATGTTACCAATTTCAAGTTTGTTTTTATTGGAATGCTTATTTTTTACAGTTTTTATAGCTGCATGTAATAATGATTTTTGTTAAAAATTATGAAGATCCTACTTTTTTAGTCCACATTTAAGTTACCGTTTTTCTTCAGAAGTCAAACTTTTATTTGGCACATTTTTTTAGATTATCCTTTATGGAAGTTGATGGTACAGATTGGAATGAAATTGTTGAAGCTCCAGAAGCTTTTAAATGTCCAAATGATATAGCATTTGATGCTGCAGACTACTGTTACGAGCTATCAGATCCGGCTATTAAAACTGGAGTTCAGTATGCAGCAAATGTTCGTTTGTTTAACATTTTGATGCCTACACTTATAACAATATTCATGCTGCAATTTTATGTCAGTGTTCTGTGCACCTTTTTAACTTTATAGATTGATAGATCACCGACGGAATAGGTTTCAAATTTTATTGTTTTTAGGAAAAGTTTACTTTAAAAAATAAAACAAATTTTTATCGTTTAGGTGCTGTATGAAACAGATTCGGAACAATGGTCTAAGAAAAGTGATCCAGTTTACTTTATTATTGCAAGTACAGGTAGGTGATTGAATCGATGCCAGACCTTGTTGTGCTAGATTCAGCTTTTTTTTTTTTTTTTTTTT